TGTCTGTAGGCTTTCTGAAGGCTGGAGTCTGCAATACACAAGCTTTGTCAGAGGCGGGACCATCGTAGCACTTTGGTTTTGTACAGGTTCTTTTGTAAAATGCAGACATTGGCAACTTCTAGTTGGAAAAATGACCTCGAGGGTGCAAACTTTGCCATGCTGACGGTTTTCACAACTGAGTTGTGAAAGACCACGATCCGAAAAATGGCCAAGCTACAAGTTTTGGACTTGTCAGGACCTACCAAGTTCCACCCTCCCAACAAAAGAATACGCTGCATGCCCCTCATTGCATTGCAGTAGTCACCAATGACATTGCCCATCGAAAACAATCCATCAATCACAAATCTCATTCGTTATCAAATAGTTCTATGACTCCCTGACCCATGGGCTGAGCGATCGGTATGTCTCAATTGTCACTTATGGCAGGAAAACTACCCAACAGACACAAAGTACTGTGTTGCGACCTCAGAATAACATGCAGCCATTTTTCTCCATGCATACAGATTCAATGCAAGTCGAATTTATTTCTTGAATACAAGCTCAGAAACTCGTGCAACACTCACTGTGCGACGCAGGTGAGCATGCATGTATTTCAAATGCGCAGACTGAAATAAACATCATGAGAGGTGAACGATTTAAAAAAATGAAATTTTAAGTTTACATGCCATCTCTTTAGATTTTGCCCCAAAAGTCGTTCATTAATGTCTTGAAGCGGCAGCACAATCACCTCATTGCTCATAATGAATGGTATATTTTATGGAGACCACTGAGAACCTCCAGACTGAATCAACACTTAATGATACAACGTCGGCCCACGGCGTCCCACACAGCATGTTCTGGTGTGGAAAATGGTGAATTGCATTTAGTTCACGCACCAAGGGCAGAGGGAGGGGTGTCATTTAAATTGCATCGTAAAGTCCCCACAAACACTTATAGCACCCCCAAGAGGGAAATGGGCAAAAGGGGGTCGCCTGCCGGGGTGCGTTGACAAGACGGGATCTACTGTGAGTTCGCCCCTGGTAGGACCGGGTTGCCGAGCGGCGCCGATCTGGCGCCGCTGTGGCAACGCATCTTATGTATAGGGGGCGGTCATGATCGCCGTCCTCTGATCAGAGGACCTCCTTTTGTCAAGGTATCTCACATAGGATCCCCTTCTGTCATTTTCCCAAGGGAAATCCATGGCCTCATCGAGGAAAAGCGTGCAGAGTGCTCTTAGGAGCAACGTGTGCCACTGACTACAGTTCGCTGCAATGCTGGCGTCGCAACAGTGCTCATTGGATCTTTCTTGCCGTTTAGAGTCGTGTGCATGTGGTGGAACGGGGCTGAATTCTATTTCAACGTCGTTTACCAGCACATGCCGATACTGGCCTTGCACCGGCAGGGCGACAAACCAAAACTGAACACTGAGATGTATTCCAGTCATTTGGTAACTCAATTGATTACCAACTAAATCTGTACCAAAAGCATAGTACCGTGCTTGATTCGAGCAAAAGAGAGTCAAAATCTGCGAGTCTGGAAATTCGACTCGCCAGATTAAAATCTATTTGTAGAGCCGCCAAAACATAGCAAATGGCGCTGCCGTACGGCGTTCTCGATGTTCCAAGACAAGGAATTGGCTGTCAGCTTCCGAATTCGCCAGGCTTCAATGAATTGCTGATGAAAATGCTGAGTATTGCAAAAACAAATTTGGCATTGCATTGTTTTGATGGGGAATATTCCACTCTTTTTGTCCCTGAACTTTGTGCCCCTGATTCCGAGGTCAAAAAAAATCCGATGCCCTCCAAGGACAGTGGACAATGGGTATCGCCAAAGGCCGTTCGGAGGGGCGGCAGTTGGTCATAACCATTGATCAATGCCACCCATCCAAGCGGCCTTTGGTGACACCCACGACCGTGGTCCCCATTCGGATCCAAAACTGGTGGCCTGGAAATTCGAAACTGAACCATACCCAAATAACTATCCAGCTACCAGGGCCCGTCATTTTCGCCTAAGCCCGCTGATCCCCAGCCGTCTTGTATGATTAGACCACCGTATTCCACCGTCCACTTTCGATTTGTCACCACCCAGCCCATCTCGGACATAACCGCTCAAATTTAATTGGAGTAGTGCTGCTTACTCTTCGTTTGCCACACATGCGATCGATGCAAATGACAGAAATGAATAAAGCGCACCACATCCTGTGCGCCTCTGGCCATGATGTCAGATTCAGAGAGTGGTCTCTGAATCTGATATCACGGTGCCAAACGTTTACAAGGCGAAAGAAATGGCTAAAATGATACCGTTGATTGTTCTGTATTTTAGTCGATGGAAACAGCATGACGAGGCACACAAAATCTAAGATAAGCACACAACTGCAAAATATCAATGCATTATGGCAGGAAAAATTTGCCAAATCACTACCAAGTTAATCATGAGGGAAGCGCACTCGAGGTGCTAGCCTCTAACAGACCTCATGCAGAGCTGTCACCTCAAGTCTAGGTCGGGATTTGACCTGTCGAGCTGCTGCACCGTCTGAATGTGGACACCGTGCTAGAAAACAGGCGAAATTGGAGACGAGATGCAGGTTATTTCAATCGCGATGCACTCATTCTGCCAAATGATCTAATTTTGGTCGAACAGGAAACGCGAGAGCTTAAGCAAAGAGGCAATACTTGTTGTGTTCCACAAGAAGAACAATAGCCGTCTTTCTCGCAGTGGTATCTTGCAATGGTGTGTTGCACATTAGATTGCAGTCATTCTCCACGTGCTGCTATCGCCGTACGGTAGCTGTCAATGACTGCGCATTGGGAAGTACAGCCACACCCTTGAAACGGACATTTCGCATCTGGATTTCAGACAGGAAAATGGACTATCGATATACCCAAAAATTCAGACAGCCATTTCAGGGAAGCATTCCAACCGTCCAAATTCAGTTTTAAGCATGTCAGCATGTGAGCACGTTTATATCGCTCTTTACCGCATTGGCCTTGTTGTGTGAATGGCATCATGCTTAAAAGCTAGCACAGCCAGGCAAATCATAATAGCTACTTTCCCAGTCCCAAGTTAAATTGCTGTTATGAACCGTGGGCGTGGGAAACCTGCCAAACCATATATAAGGTTTTATTATGTACAAGATTTTGAACAAAATTCTGCACAGCATACTAATTTGCGTCTAATTTGTGCTCCCGAATTTTTGAGCTGATTGGCTAAGTATCCAATCCGCAGTGTCATCGTGAATATACGTCATTCAACCACGCACTTCAAGGTGGCTACAAGGTAGCCCATTTTTGAGTCGTGCATCATATCCCCTTGTGGTGGCCCCAATCTTGCAAAGTGATGTGACTTAGAGACATGTTCCAGATTGCAGGTTGGAGGAGAGATGCAAAAGCAAAGGGCAGGCCACCAACTCGTCTCAAAAGGCATGATTGAGAATCTTGCCCGTTCTTTGCCTTGATCGTCATTCCCTGAATTGTGCACCGGTTGTGCGCCACAATCCTTTCAGCTTTTTTGGCAGACTGCTCCCGCCATGTCTTGGGACATCTACGGTTCCCTTGCCGTAGGTGGGGCAAGTTCATTCCAGCGGGGTTGTTGATTACATAACGGGACGGCTTACTTCTGGTCTCAATTGTTCGGCACGTAGTCTCGAATCTACGGGCGAGCTTCTTGGTCACGCATTTTCGGAATGCATTGGCAGTCTGCCCTCTGCGTCTATTTCTCTACTCCGTCCTGTAGTCCAAAGCACGTATCCAACTCTTGTAGTTTCGCTTGAGAGAGCCACCGCAAGGTGGCATGTTCCAGGGCCCAGAATCAGGCGGTTTCAGCGCCACCTTGAAAAACTGGGGCACTTCCAAAAAAGTGGAGTCTGTTCAAAATAGCACTACGGAGTGACCAATTAACTGATTGACTCAAAAATTTGGCAGCACAAACTAGGCACAAATTCCGACATTGTCACAAATTTTACTGAAATTGTCATACGATATTGTGGTTTTCTAGGGCCATGAAACAGGATTGCAATTTAGTTTGGGAAGGACGAAGTACTGGCAAACTCAGTGGACTACCAGTTATCAATGGCTGCATAGTAAGAACCTGTGAACTTAAGCACAGTAGATTTCGTTTGATCAGCATTTCAAGCATGCAAAGAAAGAAGCTTTTTCCTGACACATTCTGGCTGATCTGCATTTGTTGGCCTTTGCCTTACAGGAATTTAAATGGTGGACAGAGCCTGTCCTTATTTGTGTTTGGCATAGATCACGCTCTGCCCCGCCCTTTGTATTAGCCAGCGTATGGAAACAAGGAGCTACGGTTTGCTGCCCATCCTCGCCGACAAACTGTATGCATTTTCATCAGATGGTAACACAGATCGCATTCGGCATAGTGAAAACGACAACTCGAAAAGTGGGCACAAGAAGAGGCGTAACAACTTCAGGTTTGCCAGGCTACAGTTATCGGGTTTGAATTGTTCTGCCTAGTCACGTCCAACCACCGTCGCCAAGTGTCCCCTTTCGATGGGGCACGCGTGCACCGTTGTGCTTTGCCCTGAGAAATGCGTACCCCGAGGAATGATGGGCAGCAGCGAGAGGGCTGTGCCACAGCCGCTGCGGAGAGGTGCGTGGCAAGGAGAGTGCTGCACGATCACCGAGTGGCCACGGGAGGCGTCGACGCAGAATGACCACAACCAAGAACACAACCAAGAAGCGGCGGTGCACCCTTTTGGGGCTCCCTTACCGCGTCCACTGATGTGCCTTCCCGGTCCCTCTGGATTGGTGCATCCTTCGCGACCTGTCAGTGTCTTGTTGTGGTTTGCGTAATCTTTCAGAAGCTGACGCGACCCTCATTTTGGTGCGTGAGAGTGTGCTTACTGGAGGGATTGCCCCCGAGGCCCTGGACACTGAGCTGGCAGGCAGGTGGGGTATCTCGCTGGAGGTACCCATTGCATATCGTGTCCGCCAATCTGCACCATCCAGAGAGGTTGGGAGGGGTTTGCCTAATCCTCGCTAAGCTCCACCGCGGCGCCCCCCCCGATGTCCCACATAAGAGGCGGTGCGCGGTGTCCTCCCGCAGAGTGCTTGCGATCTACCTGCTGCTCTCCTCGCAGTGACCGCGCGATGGCAGCCACGGCGGGGACCGAGGGGCAGGGCGGCGCCGACTCCGGCGAGGCGCCCGCCTACAAGGGCTCGTGCTTCTGCGGCAAAGTGAAGATCGACATCAAGGGCCCCGTGGCTTCCTCCTACGCCTGCCACTGTACGGTCTGCCAGAGGCTGCACGGCGCGCCCTTCTCCATCCACGTCAACTTCGCTCGGGGGTCCATCGTCCCCACGCCCGAGTCTCAGGTCTTCCTTGCGGGTTTCGATAGCAGCGAGAAGGTCGTCCGGTACCACTGCAAGGTGCGACAGTCCGATGGACCGCATTCACCGACGGCAGGCGTTACGCCATCCTCAGGCTTATTTCCACCGTTTGCTTGTTTCAATGTCGCCCGTTGAATATATTTTCGGTCCCTTGTTCCTGTGCTGCTTTTGTCCCTTGGCCGCTTCTGGGCCCGCGCCTGAGTGCTTGTGCCCCTCGCCGCTTCGCCGCAAAAGGTGTGCGCCTCCCGCGTGTACAACGACATCGCCGTGGAGGGCTTCGAGTTCGTGGACGCGCCGGTCACGATCTTCGAGAGGGGTTCGGACGGCAGGGTGCTGGCCTGGGACGCCGTCAAGCCTAAGTGCCACATCTTCTACAGCACCAGGGTGGAGGACGCCAGCGACAAGCTGCCCAAATTCGACGCTCTGATGCCGGGCTGCGAGGCCTACGACCCTGGGAAGCTCCACCAGCCCAGCACGTGAGGTGAGCCGGTCCCCTTGGGAGTGTCGCGCGAATCAATCAGTGCGATGGGGAGAAGCGGTCGCCGTGTGTGTTGCAGCTGTTGCTGATTGAAATTGTGGGGGGGATGCACTATCAGAAAACACCGTGATTGTGACACCAACTGCGACGCCATTTTGACACAAAATGGTGGCGTCACAGCGGTTGCGGTGGCACAAAAGTGGGTATGATGGCGTCTTTTAGTGTCAAAAGTCGTGTCAGCGGGCATCGCAAAAAATGTTCGTTTCTGCTGGCGCAATATTGTCCATGGCCAAGTATATGTGCCCGCACAGGGGCGGCGTCGTCCTCGAGGCAAGCCGAGAAAGGCAAGGCTAGTCAGAACAAGAAACGGAAAATAAGTGAGCGAAGAAAAGGGAGAATGTCCCCACCCAAAGTCAGCACTGCACAGGGGCCCTCTAGTGCGTCTCACATGCCTTCAACCTTTTGTGGAACAATGGCAAGCGCTGTCCTTATAACTGCATGGGGATGCCGTATGCAAGTCTTCATAGTTGCTGTCGAGAATCCTGCCTCCGTAAAGCGTTGCCAGGCTCAATGCCTATACTGCTGGCTGCTCTGGTAGTGGGAATGAGTCAGTTGGGATAATCACATCGGGTCAGTCCCACATTGTCTGACGTGCAGCGAAGGGAGAGGCATGGTTATCTTTCAGGGCTGACATAAGGCATTGGTGGTTTGTCACAGGTGACTGGTGGTCATGTGCACAGAGCATTTTGGGGGGATGTGATTGGGTGGAGATTCGGCTGGGGATGCCACGGACTGCTGACAATTTTTTGCTATGTGCTGTGCTTACCGCAAGATTGTAGGGGGGAAATCAATGGCCATGTCCAGTAGACAAAGTGCATAGTGTTTCTGTCATGCCATTGGGCGCACTGTATTTTGTTGGCCAAGTTCATGGCATTTCAAAAGTACTGGCTGAATATGCAGCCATTTTACGGTGCCGTGTGCATGTGGTGAATTGAAGTCTTCTTGTACTACGTTTGCGTTACATGATGAGACTGGCCCGGCACCAGCAAAGAGGCGAGCTTTTGGGGCCAATTTTCTAGAACCGAACATGCAGATTCACCTGATTCATAGATTAATTGATTAACCAGCCTACCTGCCCACCCGCCATTACCAACCTACCCAACCAACCAACCAGCAATCCAACTAAGTGCGCAATTTGCCTTGTGCCAAGCACCACAAATGTCATTCGCTGACTATGGAACTAAGGTATCAGCGAAGTGCACGCACCCCTGAAGGCAAAACAGCAGGATCGGCGAGTTCCGGGCAATCTTTAGGGCAAAAAAATGTCTGGTTTCAAGAAAATATATGTTCTTGCCGGTTAAGGAAGACATCATTTCGATGTGTACGATTAGCGCCAAATGAATGCGAATCTCAGATAGCCCCTACCCCCCTGTCAACGCCAATCCTCATTTTAAAATGAGGGTATCAAATTTGATATCCGAATGGTACCTAACGTCAGTATATAGCGTCGCCTACACCACTATGAACGTTTTACCGATGGTCGAAAAGGTGGTTGCAGTGCGACTCCGCTCAGTGCACAAAACTCAAAAATTGACTTCGGGCCATGCCATTTCAAAGCAGCATGCAAGCCACATGGCGCCACGGACGCCCTGCTTGCCACCCAACGTGGCGGGAGATTCCCTATTCCCTTCGCGCTTGCCAGCTCTGCACCACTTGAGCGACGCAAGGGCCGGTCCAGCTTGTATTGAATAAGGAGCACTGGCCACTGCCATCACTATATGTACATGATCACGAATGCCTATGATGCGGGCAAGATTTCAACAAAAAGCTATGCCATTTCGTGGTCCTACCCGCCACGTTTCTCCTCAGTACATACTCCCCGTCGTTTCGTTCGCCAATCATCAAATTACGACCCGTCTGTCTGGAAATCGCAAGGCGCAGATCACTTATAGGTGATACAGGTGATCTGCGCCTTGCAATTTCCAGACAAACGGGTCGTAACTTGATGATTGGCGAACGAAACGACGGGGAGCGTGTACTAGGGAGAAACGGTGGCGGGCAGGACCACGAGATGACATAGCTTTTTGTGGAAATGGTGATCAGAGACGGTCCTGGCTTGGACCGTTATTGATCGCCATTTAGCATATGTCACCGATCGCCAAAATCTGTACCCCACCGGAACGTCAGTGAACCGTACGCCCTGCACGCCGCCCTGTCCCGGGGATTTGCTTACAGCGATAACAACACACCAAAACCACTGTGTCTGACGTGCGTTCAATTGCAAGCATCCAAGACCGTGTTTCCAGGTGTATTCGCTCACACAATGGAACACACTATTTTGATTCTGGTATGCTTAACGTCAAATTGACTTTAAGCTCAGACCCTCCCGCCGCCGAGGAGGGGTGCCCCTTTCGATGGCCTGCTTCTCTTTCTCTTTTGTAAAAAATCTTACCCCCGCCGCCCCTACCTCAGCGTCAATCCTTATGTCGATTCCAGATTGGCAAAGCAGCATTGACTAACAATGTCATACAGCTGCAAAATAGTTTACCTGCAGGAACGCCCGAAATTGTGGCGATTTCTGTGATTTGCAAATGGGATTCCAAGGCCATTTTAAGCAATGTGAGCAGCCCCAAAGTGTAAAATTAATTAATTATGGAGAATTCATCGAAGACAAAAATTCTTGAGAGAAGTTTTGCAGCAAGTTGTGAGACATTGCGGCTGATCAGCGGCGCTTTTGCGCATCTTCCCGCCTTATTTGGATATTAATGCAACCATTTCCTGGACCAGCCCCCACTCCCCACCTCCTGCCCCCTCCCCCAGCGTCAATTGATGTTAAGCGTACCCAAATCAAAACAGTGTCTTCCTAAAGGCAGGCTTGGAAAGTACAGCAGGTTCTTCAAAATGCGCAATAATAAGCGTATTTTGGAAAAATTTTATATACACGCATTTTGGGCAGTGTTTAGAACAGTTAACCTAATTGAGCTTTAACATGACACATTGATGGCTTCAACCTTCCCGTCACGATAATTGAAAAGCTGGGCTCCATTTGGATAAAGCGCGCAGCGAATAGAGATGCTGAAGATCCATAAATTGGTAGCAGAGCACTTTCGGATTCACAACCCAACCGGGTGCGAGCGCCTACTGCAACATTGTCATTCCGGGCGGTGATGAACACTGCCATCTGGCCGGCATCACTCGATCTGTATTTGTTGTGTGCAGGCTTGGTTTTTTCGATTACGTTCAGATTTTTGCGTTTACGTTGTACGCGCAAAAACGTAAATTTACGAAAGGGGCTAAATTTGCGGACGCTTTACGCTTTTGCGGCTCGTTGAGACAGCCAGGTCACACGAGGAAGGTCGAATACAGTGATCAGTCCTCCGCCATCTACAGCACCCGCAACACAATTCCCACCTCGACTTCGGCAAGGGAAACGGCGGCATGGAACAAGGGGTCGTTCTTTACCCATACCAGCGCGCCTGACTGCCCTTCCCCGGACTCCCCAAGTCTGTATGCACTATCCTTATGTGCACGGGACAGTATTTACGCTGTATTTCCGTATTCTACGCTGTTTTCATGCATATGGAGTTTAATAAATTCAGTTTTTGCGCCGTGAAAACCAAGCCTGGTTGTGTGCCATGGGAACGTGCCAGAGGTTGTGCAGGAGGAGACATCGCGTTCGCATGAGCTGCACAGTGGATTACCCGGACACTGATATGGACGCATTGAATTCACATGCCGTTGAGGTTGCAATGGTCCACTCTACGCTCTAGCTCAAGGTTGATGCTCTTGCATGGGACAAGTATGCGAGTTTCTTGTCATGACGTAATCTCTGGTGCGGATGTAGTAAGCGACGACACCATGGAAAGGTCGGAAACGGATACTAACTGGTTATATAATTGTCTATATCGCGTGTCATTGAGGTTGTAATTTTAAAAAATTCTGCCGTATCTTTAGAAGTATTTTGAGTCCAAGAATGAATTACGGAAGGATGCGTGCATTTTTGCGACTTATTTCAGGCAGTGTCTGTATTTATCAAGCCTGAGTAAGGGCCATTTCGGTCTCCTCTATTTGATTATAGTGCAACTACATATTCTTTTAGCGTCCATGCCTTTAACCCTGCCCAATTTCTTAGATGGCATCCGTTTAATGCTAAGCGTTCAAAAAACAACACATTCTCTTCTCGTAATGGCCAGCAACTCGATTTAAGGATGACCGCATTTGCCTTCGTGCGGCCCGTCTCTCAATGGAGTTAGCGTGAGCTTGAATTGTGAATAAGTGAAGTATAAGATATGCTCTAGAGTCCCAAGCTCGGGCTGGGTGAGTGAGTGGGTGGCGATGTCGCCGCCCCGTTGCCCGTGGCGTCAGTGGGTGAACTAAGAGCCCTGCCGCTGCCGCCGCCGTCCCCGGCGACCCCCCCCCCCCCCCCCCCCCCCCCCCCCCCCCCCCCCCCCCCCCCCCACCCCCATTCCCCCTTGCGACAATCGTGCCGACGCTTCAGACGCCCAGCCATCCTCCTAACCCCTTTCAACGACGTCACCAAGGGTCGCGGCGCAGTCGCCGGCGACGTCGCCGGAGTTTGGGGGCCTCTTCTCCTTCCCGCTATTAATAGCACAAATATATCACTACATACCGTGGTATATTCAAGACTTCCGCATTTCGAAACATCAGCGAGACGGGGCAGACTGCTATTTTGGGGGCCTTTGCATCATGGCCACATTCGGAATTGCAACTCCATTTGGTTGACATGGCCTCCAAGGCCAGTTTTGAGCCACAGCGGTTTATACAACCGGAGCCGCATGAAAACAGCCAAAATTTACGTTACAGTGCGGAAGGGTATATTGTACTACCATGTAAGGATTGACTGCCCAGTCACCCCAGGATTTGCTCCAACGTGGTATTAATGCTGGGATGCCATGACGTCATGTTTCGTGCGACATGCATCAATTACTAACACTGCTTAGCATCTTGGTTCAGTTGAAAATGCACAATGGGAATATGCAATACGCTCATGAGCTGTTTCTTTTGAAATGGGTGGTGAGGGCCCACGGGTCAAAGGTGCCATTGGCTCGCGCACATGACCCAGACATGTGAAATTTCCATTTGACCACTATGATTTCCAACGGATAGTACAGTGTGCCATCACCACGGTGCCGCAACTACGAGCTCAGTGACAAATGTGGAAACATTTGATGGCCCCTGTCTGTTGGCATACACCTTAAGGTGTTAAAACCCTGTTCGACCCATCGCACTGTTCAGACTACTGGAAGTTGACCAGTAAGCTGGCTCTGCCAATTGCCGGTTTGTAATCCGACGGTTGAAAATAAATGGTGGCATATGAGAATCTCATTTCAGGAAATACTTCAATAGCACTTCTCTGTCGGGAACTCGTTGTCCTCTATTTTAGAAACAAATTTCGTTAAAATGAGGGCCTCGAAGTCACAAAAGAAGTTCAATATCAGCAGCCCTAGGTCCCCGAACCCCTAGCTACCAACTTCCAAGAAGAAACAGTGAGATACGACCTCTTTGAGAGGTAAACGAAAACTAAGATTTGCTCATTTTTGAGTTAAATTTTCGTTGTCAAAGACCCTTGTTACAACTTGATTTTTTGAGAATTTCCTCCAAACTCATGGGCACAGCTTTGGGAGAAGTTCGACTGAAAAACTAGAGCTGCACCAGGGCTAGGTAGATTACCAAATTCATAGATGAAATTAATCCCGGGCGGAAGAATTGTAATTGAATGGTTTTTGCCTTTATCGATGTTCATTGGCAATTTTCCAGTTCATATGGCTGGAGTTCGGTGGCTGAACACCTATGTGCTGTAAGCCTCACCGAGAAAAGCAAAAGCCCCAATCGGAGTCACGTTTAGGACAAGATAGTATGCACACCGAGGCAGCCACAGCCACCACGGTGCGCAAGCAGGCGATCATGTGCTGGCTGACCGGTGCGCGAGTCCACTTGATTGAGATGCCCGGAGACTATCAAATTCAATTTGCTACGTTTGGTCACCTTGAGTTGGTGCTGTGTATTGGAGTTGTGGGCTGATGCTGTGGGGTGACGTGTCATGCATGATTAAAGCGTTAGTTGAGTCCACCGTTCTGAGTGCGCATCCTGGTGGGCGCGAAGCAAGCTTTACTCTGGTGTTTGAGCAGTGCCCTATAATGCCCTTGATTGTGGTTTTTCTTGGTGTTTAGGCAGTGATCTAGAGTGCCCTTGCTTGTGGTTTTGCTTGGTTTGGTTGTAAGACGAGTAGGGTTGAGTCTTGGATGCTTGTTGGACCAAGCACGGCAAGTGCATTTGAGCACCGCGTGCACCAAGGTTGCCACGGAGGTCGACCCAACGGCATTTGACCCGTGCTGTGCAGGTGTGATCGACGGTGTCCGTGCCGTGCTGTAACCCATCTATAGCCCGTTGAATTGCGAAAGGAGTATCCGAACCAGAATGGCGGGGAGAATATGTCACGCACAAGGACCAGTATCCCAGGGCCATTTGCACATCCATGGTAGCCAACTGTATGCGCACTACGCATCGTGGCTGTGTAGAGACTTGATCGCTGATCCCAGACCCGTTCAGTTCCCTGACACGAGAGACTTAGCACCACCCAGGTGTTGATGTGCCTCTTCTCGTCTTTGAGGCGGTAGGTGGCCCGTTGGTGCAATAAGGAATAAATAGCAGCAACAGAAAGAAGGAAGAATAGACAAAAAAGACTAAACGTGAACAAAATGAACAAAAAATGAACAATAGAGCAACAGCGACAACAAAATTCTATCACCTGAATAGCGCCACATGTTAAAAAAAATCCACTGGCGGTTGGGGGAGTAATATAAACCCATACTATTCAACCCCGAGCTGTGGAATTTGGTCCTCGAATAGCACGCTGGAGGCCAAACAGCCACCCCAGAATAGCGCCCGATGCTATTCACGCAGAATATTGCTGTGGTGCGCTGATGCGAGTGGGCCAAAATTTCCAAGCCAACAGCACCCAGCGTTACGGATGCACGCAGGGGAGCACTAGCACTGGTGCTGTTCGGCAAACGCAGCCTTAGTGTGGTGGCACGGCAGCCAGTGAGGCCCTCTCCTGTATAGCACCGCCGCTGCAATGGCACCGAAAGACAAAGACGCTCCAAGTAAGGAATACACAAGGGCTAACCACAGGCGTCGTTGTGACCACGTGTTGCCTGTCCTGAACGGTCCGCCACATGCACACGTATCTAGATGGCATGAAATATTCAACGACCTCTGCTGTGACGCCAGCATCGCAACGAAATTTAGCCAGAGGAACAAGCTGCTCCCAAGGGCTTCAATGCAGAAATCTGCACGCTTTGCCCTCGACAAGGACATGGATTTCCCTTTTGCAATTCTACAGCAAGCATAACAGGTGACAAAACAAGCCAACAGTCGATGGCATCCCCATCCTATTCACCAGCCCATCCACAACCCAATAAATGCACCGTGCGCCTGGACAACTGTCCCTGCATCAACCAACCAATGCCTTACATCAACCCTGAATGGCAACCGTGCGTTCCCCTTTTCTGCACACCAGACATTGTGCGACTGACCCATGTGTGACTGTCCCAGATGTGGCTAACGCATTCCCAACAAACAGGACAGCCAGCGCTTCAGGGCTCCAGCCCGTCAGCGGCTCTATGGAGATGGCATTCTGGACAATCTGTGAAGGCTTGCAGACGACATCGCCCTGCAGGTACAAGGACAGTGCTCGTCATTCCTTGTCTAATAAGTCAAAGCATGTGCAACGCTGGCACAGCAGACACCACACACGCACACGCACCCTTGCGCAGTGCTGACTTGGGGCAGGAACGCCCCTCTCTTTCTTTGCTTGTATTTTAATCTTTGACATGACTGACTTCGTTTTTTGACGTTAAGGGAGATGTGACTCCGTTGATGCCCAGGCACTGATACTTGATCTTCAACAACTGTGTTGTTTGTGCAACGGCCGGAGACATGGCAATTCGGATGTCGACACACTTCCAGTGAGCAACTGCCACAATACACACTCCTTCGTGCCCATTATGACGGACTGGCGCACCTCACGAGGATGGCTGATGGAGCTTCCCAGGGTCGAAGCCCTCGAACCCAGGAGGCAGGCCGTCGTATTTGGGCAGCTCGTCATGGACGTCCTCCACCCTGTTGGGGTAGAAGATGTGACTCTGCGGCTTGACGGCGTCCCAGGCCAGCAACTTCCCGTCTGGGCCCCTCTCGAGGTTCGCTACCGGCATGTCCACGCACTCGAAACCCTCCACAAGGATGTCGTTGTACACGTGGGAGGCGCACACCTTGCAGCAAAACGGCGAAAGGCACCAGCACTCAGGCGCGCGCACGGCCCGGGCAAACAGCATCAAACAAAGGAAGGGGCGTAAGACACGAAACGCGGCCTGCAAATCCACCGACACGGGGTCGTACAGGTGGGAAGTGCAACCCTTGCAGCACGGCGGTGAAAAGCAGAAGCATTCGGCCGTGGTTCCCCCAGCAGCTGTGCGAACAGGCACCAAACAAACCAGGGAACGAACGACATGAACAACGGGCAGCAATCCGCAGAAAGGTCGTGGCAAAAGTCGTGCGAGGCGCACGCCTGCAGCAAAGCAGCTAAAGGCACAAGCACTCACGCGCCGACATGCCAGCGTCGAGGGAAAGCGAGCAAACGTACAAGGGGCGCAAAACCTGACGGTTGGGCAGCAAACGCTGAAACCCTGCGGATGCCGGCGCCATGTGGCGCCATGCCCGCCTTCGGTGCGTAGAAGCCAGCGGACTGTCTCACCTTGCAGTGGTACCGGATGCCCTTCTCGCTGCTCTTGAAACAGGCCAGGAAGTCCTTGGACTCGGGCGTGGGGGTGATGGATCCCGCGGCGAAGTTGACGAAGCTTACGAAAGGCGCGCCATGCAGCCTCTGGCAGCGCGTGCAGTGGCAGTTGTAGGTGAGGGCCACCGGGCCCTTGATGTCGATCTTCACCTTGCCGCAGAAGCACGAGCCCTTGTAGGTGGGTGCCTCGCCGGAGTCGGCGCCGCCCTGCCCCTCGATCCCCGCCGTGGCCGCCATCGCGTGCGCGTTGGGAGGAGCGCGAGGGTGAGAGTGACGAGGACACCGTGATGGAATGCTTATGCGGAGCAGGACTGGGCTGCCACGTCGCAGCTTGTCGGGATGTATTAGTCCCTCTGGTGAATTGCTGAGGTCCACATGTTTTTGAAATAACATTAGTGCCTGCACCAAACCGGCGACTGCTTGCACTAAGTCAAGTGCACACTAGGTCCTCACTTCGGTTTTAGGTTTAGGTTTGGTTTTAGGGAGAGTTTTAGGGTTAGGGTAGGTTTAGGTTGAGGGTTTTGGGGATTAGGTTAGGTTAGTTTTGGACGGATCTGGTGCAGGCAGTCACCGATTTGGTGCAGCCAGTCATTGTATGCAATGATTTTTTCGGTGCGGATCCCATCTTCTTCCGCTGACAAGGCCAACGGTGGTCAGTTGGTCAGTAGTTTAGGGCTTAGGGCGTCTGAAACAGGGTGGGATCCACACGGACAAGGAAGAGCGACTAAGCACACGCCCTTTTAGGCCTCCCATGACGCGGCTTTCACGAGACGCAGCGTGAGCCCTGACACCGCACCTGCCCCACACCTGCGCAAACAAGGACAACCTCCCACAGCCCCACCGGAACACCGTGGGGCACGGTGCGGCACCCCTTGCCGCCGACGGTCGCGATGAGCGGCGATGAAGTGATGCCAGGGTTCACGGGGGAGAAGGGTGCCGAGGCGATGGCCCTGAAGGGCGGCTGTTTCTGCGGAAAGGTGGCCTTCACGATTGAGGCACCCTGCCTCACGGCCTTCGCCTGCCACTGCACGAACTGCCAGAGGCTGCAGGGCGCGCCGTACACGCGCTACGCCTACTTCCCCCCCGGGGCGATCAAGCCGGACACCGGATCGGAGGAGTTCGCCGCCAAGTTCAACAGCAGCGAGAACCTGGCGAGGTACCACTGCCGGGTGTGCGGCTCCCCTGTCTGGGGCGTGAACTCGGCCAAGGGCTTCGAGTGCATGGGGTGTCCCATCGCGGCGCTGGAGAGGGGCCCCGACGGGAGGTTCCTGGGCGGGGAGGGCATCAAACTCAACGGCCACGTTTTTTACGACAGCAGGGTGGCGGACGTGGACGACGGCGTGCCCAAGCACGCCGGCTACCCGCCGGAGGCCGCTGCCGTCGACTTCGGGGCGGCGTTCAAAAGCGGCTGATGCGGCGGATGGGGTGTTGGGCAGTTGGGCAAGTTTCGAGGATTGGGGGGCGCCATGCACTTCTTGCCAGGCTGATTTCACAGGGCAAGGGGCCGCGGTTGACAGCTCGCACGCGGTCACTCGCAAAGGCGATTTACGGAGGCGGCCGAGCGGGTTTTCTTGTATTAGACCTTCGTCAATGTTGACTGATTTCGCTGTGCGGAGGGCATTCTGTGCTGTGCATTCACACGACGAATTTGTCAGTGCGGGACTACCCACCGGTTTTGTTGAGGTCAGGGTGCGTATCCTGGAGTGGGTATTGCAGCCTTCGTCCGTGACTGTGCCAGCGTGGCGCCCTGCAATTGCCCAATTACAGGGTTGATGTGGTTCCTGAGTTACTTATTTGGGAGACGTGAGTGGACACTCGCGATGTGTCAGAGGTGCACTGTGGTTGATCAGCCCCGGAATCTGGTACTGGCAGCGGCCCTGTTGCGGTTGCGGTTCAATTTGGCCACAAATATTGGATCCACAGACCGCTCTCGATATTGAAATGAGAGACGTATCAACTCCAGGCACGTTTTTAAGCAGAGTTTCCAACGAGTAGTCTTGAGGGGGTGCACTGGGTCGATCGGGCGCCTTCCAGCCTCAGGCTTCCTGTCCATGATTTTTGTGTTCAGAAAGTGATCCGCTGCTCTCAATGTCTCCTCTCCAAACCGGTCGTGGTGAAGGGGAGAGCATCAACAAGACGGACGGCACCTCAGTCCCCCTCTTGGGTCCACTAGCAGTGAATCTGAACAATGAAGACAGATAAGGATACAGAAACTCGCCGTCGACCCAGCGTGACAGATGCCTTGCGCATATTAGTGATCCCAGCTATGGGGTTTCTTCTCATTTGATACATGCATTTTATGCACATGATAGTGGAGAATATATTGACCTGCTGGGCGTGGAGTGCTGATGTTGCCGCAGCGTAGGTGAGAGATTTGGCCATTCCTTTCGCCGCGGCGGCATGGTGAGGATACCGCGCTCGAGCACAGATGAAAGTGCAGACGAACCGCAGATGATTTCAATCCGAACGTGCTTCAAAACACGTTCCAATTGAAATCATCATGGCAGCGGAAATTGTGTCTGCCAAAATGCAGCCTTTCGCCACAAAAGAAACACGAGAATTAGCACTTGTGATATTTCTAAAAGCGTAACAGTGGTTTCTTGATAGCTGTGGAATGGTGTGGTCATACCAACATGTTATCCTGTCGTTCATGCTTATGCCATCAGAAGAGCTGTTGCTCATGGAAATGGACTGGGGATCGAGATACGCCGGCACAGTAGTAACTTAGAGCCGGCACTTGGTCTCTGGACTTCAGGCAGAGCAATAGTGTTGGCCTGAATGCGCCGGCGATCTATTTTAATACTTCGGAAACAGCTCGAGCCGCTCGAACGAGCTCGTTCGCTGCGCATCCGATAATGTACAAAGAATCCGCTGAATTCTTGATTCGGAAGTTGTTATTATGCAATTTATTGCAACCTTAAGCCCATATAAGTTGCCAAAAGTTGCCTGAAACGCTGATCACAAGAAGGACAAGACATTCACGATGAAAGGTGATAAAACATAGCGAGTGATGGTAACATACTACCAGATGTTGCATTGCCAAAAACATTACGTTGCACTTGCTGCAGCAGTCAGTGTATTGATCGCTCATTAATTAGCAAATTCGAATTTGCCCATTAATGAAGCGGCGTCGCTTCATAGCCTTTAGCGCCTGAACGCATTCAAATAGTGGCCAAGACTCCATATATATCCATCAACCTCTGTCCCCTTCCATTCAAATGTATTTCCCAGCGCTTCTGGTTGATTAAAACAGCTGACATCGTCATTACAGGTGCTAACTAGAGTTCTGAATCCTGAATAAAACAACCTAGCACCAATAATCTCAGAATTGCGCAGCTGCCTAAGGCGGTTTCTATACTGGAGGTAACTGCCTCTGAGGATGCCCCTTGCGGCCACCAAACCGAAAAAGGTAAAACTTGATATAATGATGTTAAAAATTAATCAGCAGCAGTTATGTTTTCCTGATGGACCCTGTTGGCTCTGCATCATCGCCTTAGTCGCAGTGTGCACAAAGCCCTTATAGGCTTTGCATTGGCATGTATGTCGGCATGGTTGGCATGCATGTGGTACAGGCATCCCTGTGCAGCTGATGAGAAATCTTTCACCGAGAGTAAATCACAATGCCTTCGCGATTCCTGAAGGGACGTCAAACGCATCGACCACCGCATATTCAGTGGCAGGCCTGCGACAATTCCGTCGGCAAATCTTGAAGTTCGAGGCTCAAATCAACCTCAAATCAGAACTGGAGCCTGGGTTCGTAACCCGGGGAAGTCGATACACAAAATAGCTAAATCATGTTGTGGAATATGTGATAATCAATTTTCTAGTTGTCTGGCGATTTCGTAATCTGGAAAATCAGTATCGAGAATACCAGTAATCGACCAACTTACCTGGCAGAATGGCTGGAACAAGTGAACAATTGATGCATAATAAGGCAGAAGATTGTGTTGAAGAAATGGCTGCCAGACGAGATTGCACCAGCTCCACTGACTGCCGATCGCTAACTGAGGAGGGGACATGAAACGCAAAACAGTAGGTCGGTCGCATGCCAAAATGTGCTGCGAGACCTGGCAGTATGGCCAAAGATGCGTCGGGAGATATGGCCATACGTACCGCCGAGTCTCGTGGTTTAGGAGCATTCACATTGACATCCTCTCGGTTATGTTAGTCCATGGGAGCCACTTACCGGCAGAACGTTTTCGGAATGGCAGCGGTGGTGGCAGAGCGATGTGCAGCGACGTGGCCTACGTGAGAACAATGTGTTAGCAATACGCAGTCTGCGACTCTTTGCTTGCAAAAGGCAGCTTGACGTGCGAGTTGTAGACCAAATCCCCAGAAAGAGCGGCCGCAAAAGACCATGACCTAGAGATTTTCCCAAAAGGAATTATGTGAAGTGCCCTAATTGGTACATGTTCGAGGTATATATTTCCAGTCCGCCCACAATTAGAAACGCAACAAAACTCGGTTTTACCACCTCTACTCCCAAAGTCTTGTCCGTTATCCAAATCGTTCAAGCGGAGGTCAAGACGTGAGAATCAACCAATTTGACCAAAACAACTTCGATTCACAATTATCTATAGAGATCTTAGGTATGGAAAACGGCAATCCCTTTCTTGAGATATGTTAAGGGAAGACGCTATGTCGATTTTGGTATAGCGTCAAATTGACGCGGGGGGGGGGGGGGTCTCTAGAATGTGATGCTAAGAGATTATGCGATTGCCACAAAATCGACATGAGGAAAGAGGTTGCCCAAAAATGCCATTGATAGGCAGGAAACACCCTATGATTTCTTCTTAAAATTTTTGTAAGTGTTTGATTATAAAGGAAGGCCTTAGAATGATGTAGATTACATCAATTTGCAGCCATTGAGGCTACCCACCTCACTTATAATGGCATTTAGAATTCTACTTTTCAACCACTAAAATCAGCACGAATTTGGTTGTTTTTGTTCCTAAAAGCCACTTAAAATTCCCATACCCCCATCCGGCAATGTTGCTTAATCATCTTTACATCGACATAAGGATTGAAGATATTAGCTTAGTAAGAGGGTTGGGGGTGATACGGTGTGGTTAGGCTAGATGACATTTGAGGTATTTTATTATAAAGCGGGACTTTTGAGGGGTCAAAGAGCGAATATGAGGTTATTGGAAGGAACAATTTATTTGTTATTTTAAAATTGTATTGTCTATTTAATGAGTGACCACTCAGGTGTCGATTAACTGTTACGAATAGGATGTGGGTGTGGGGTTCCTGCCCTCTTTGAGCCGCGGACCCGCCTCGCCGGGCACCTAGGTCCTTACAGGGCACCTAGGCGGGACCACCCCTCCTACTCCCGTATCCTAATATGGATAAAGGTTACATTGGGTGAGGAATAGTACGTGCCTTGGGCAGGGCGTCCCCCACACCAAGGGCCGTTAGTAGGACGTCTCCCACAACAGGCTGGTGCGCGTAACATTCGTCCCCCTCAGGGAGAGGGGCGTCCTCGTCCCAGTATAAGTGAATACGGGAGCAGAAACATTGTATGTATGTTGGTGGAACTGGCTGTGCGATTTGCCACATGCCCAGTTAACAAAACACAACACACAAAACAGTTTTGGATGAAGAGAAAGAGTGGTTGTTTTACATGACCGTCCCGGCCTTCGCAACCCTCATTAAAACTCTTCCTCAGCCAAGTGGCTGGAAATGTTTGACCTCCCGGCCTTTCATCGGCGACCACGATGCCAAGTACCACCAAAAGCCCACGCCGGTCCAGATCGGCCCGGTGCGGCACCCCGCCGTCGCCCACGTCCGCGTGCACGCTCAGGCGCACGGGGAAATGGCACGTAGGGGTCGGCGGTGTCCAACCTCTCCCCGTTGAGGATGTTCACTGATATGGCGTTCATGTGGGCGAACTGTGTCCTCGCACGGGGGGCAGTATACCCAGTGTTTTTCTGGGCCCAGCGCAAGAGAACCTGTCAAAAGCATAAGCACACATGAGCATGTTTTAGTATGTACATCCCGTACTTCATGCAGTTTGCATTCGCATCACAGGTGTTCCGCCATTTTCAAATGCTTGAACCAATTCCTGTGCATTTGCAACTGACTTTGCTGATTCCCAGCTGTTATGCTCATGTCCATATCCCAGCCATTTGACAAGGTACTCAACATAGTTTTGCGTCTCCCACGCTTTTTAATCCTTTTATCAAGGATACGTTCAACTTCATACTCCAGTTCACCTTCGATCTCGATAGGTACTGGGGGTGGCTGTATTCTGCCACTTGCCTTATAAGGCTTAATCTTCGATACATGAAATACTGGATGTATCCTATGCATGCTTTCCGGGAGTTCTAGTCGATATGCGACAGAACCTATCCGGTCGAGGATGGTGAAGGGCCCAATCCACCTCGGTAATAGTTTTCGAGTTCGAGGGTGT